CCCTTGGCTGCAGTTTCAAGGACTGTTGATTATTGCCCTTTCCAGGCCAAGAGAATAGGCAGCTAAGGTCAGTTGGAAAGCTGGTATCCGAGCAGCTACTTCCCAATTAGATAATGACTCTTACTAACTGTCTCTGTGCTTGCCCTAAGCCTTATGGAGACTATTGATCTGCTTGTGGAGCCAAGATCTGCATTACTATAAATTGCTTGAGTCATTCTTAAATCTTACTCCCCAAATTAAAAGTGTGTGACAAAAGCAAACGGGACTCATAGATTAAGAAGTATAGTCAATGCTCATCTATTCCTCTTTAAGAGGGAAATTCATGCAACCCTGGGCAGCAGGAAAGCGAAGGGAAAGCATCAAGTGGACAACTCTTTGTACAGTTTCAAGAAAACCCATATTCTCATTCAACTTTATAAGTCTTGCTCAGGTACTTGGTTGCGCTCCTGAGGATTTTGCTGAGAAGCCCATAAAATTCCATCTTAAGGGAGATTAGGTCATGATAGTTCTTGGGAGCTCCCTGCACTCTGCAGGATTCCCTAACACCAGCACTCTGTATGTGGACATAGAGATGGTTCAGATATTCCCCCATGATCACTGCAGATTTAACAAGAAATCTCCATGAGGCAGATCACAGAGCATTTCAGTGCTGTGACACTTTGAGGAAAATGCTCCTTAGTTTTCACGTGCTCCCAAGTGTCAGGAAATACCTCTTCCAGTTCCCAGTTGTAGCTGTGATAGAGAGTCTCTGTAAAGGACAGTGGTACAGGTCTGAGTGTGGGGGATGAAGGACTCAGATGGTGAAGGTGTGTGGCTGCTTTCTGAGCAGTGGGTGGAGGCCTAGGCAGGTGCAGCACAGAGACACTTGATCCTTTCCCCCTGCTGCCCTTTGTCAGTTTGTCTGAGGCCTTTTTTCCTCCCACTCCTATATACATTCCATGTCCATTCACCTTTAGTGGCATAAGAGTAATTTAGGCAGAGCCACAAGGCATCCTGCCCCTCGTGACTCCCTGCTTTTAAGCATGGGGTGGGGCCCGAGCCCCAGAAGCCTGTATTTTGGATTCACAATACTTTACTTTTAGCTCTCCTTGAAGTACACAGATATTTCAGTTCTGTGAATTCCAAGGAGACGGTAAAAGGAGGAAGGAATAACTTTTTTAAAAAAATTTTTATTAGTGAGACACCATGAGGTACAGTTGTAGACTTACAAATTTTGTGCTTTGGTTTCAATTATACAATGATAAAATATCGATCCCTCCACCAGTGCCCATTTCTCACCACCACGGATCCCAGTATCCCTCCCCCCCCCCATCCCCCCGCCCCCCCCCCCCCCCCCCGTCCCTCCCTGCTTCAGTGGCAGGGCATTCCCCTCTGTTCTCTCTCTCCTTTTGGGTGTTGTGGTTTGCAAAAGAGGCATTGAGTGGCAATCATGTTTGGTCTATAGATTACTTTCAGCATGCTTCTCCAATCCTGGGATGATCCTCCCAACACCCTTTATTTGGTGTTCCCTTCTCTATCTGAGCTGCCTTTTCCCCTAGCATGTGTGGCTGGCCTCTAAGCCATGGAGCAAAATTCCTGGTACTAATCTCGGCCATTCTTGGGTGTTAGTCTCCCATTTTGTTACTTTATGTTCCGCAGATGAATGCAATCTTTCTATGTCTATCCCTTTATTTCTGAGTCATTTCACTTAACATGATACTTTCCATGTAGTACCACTTGTATGTAAATTTCATGACTTCATCTTTTCTAACCGCTACATAGTACTCCATTGTGTAAATGTACCAAAGTTTCTTTAACCAGTCATCTGTTCTCGGGCACTCAGGTTTTTTTTCCAGATTCTGGCTATTGTAAAGAGTGCTGCAATGAACAAACAAGTGCAGATGTCACTTCAACTATACTTTTTTGCCTCTTTGGGATATATTCTCAGAAGTGGTATTTCTGGGTCAAATGGGAGCTCAATTTCTAAGTTTTTGAGAATCGTCCATACTGTTTTCCAAAAGGGCTGAACCAATCGTCATTCCCACCAGCAGTTAAGGAGGGTCCCTTTCTCGCCACATCTGCGCCAGCACCAGTTGCTTTTGTTCTTGTGGATGTGGTCCAGTCTCTGTGGTGTGAAATGATATCTCATTGTTGTTTTGATGTGCATCTCCCTGATGATTAATGATGTGGAGCATTTTCTCATGTGCCTTTTAGCCATTCGGATTTCTTCTTTGAGAAAATTTCTGTTCATTTCATCGCCCCATTTTTGATGGGGTTGGATGTTTTCTTCTTGTGGAGTTCAACCAGTACTTTGTATAGGAAGGAATAACTTTTAATAGGAACACCTATTCGTTTCTCTTGAGGAGATCCTTTTTATTGGTGCTCCCCCCATCTCTTTCTCTGCCACCAGGCATAGAGATATACAAAACCCCGATGCTCAAAGCCTCTGATAACTTACAAAAAAGATTTATTTTTTCTCAAACATAAGCTAGGTCACACATCTATGGCTGCCAGTGAACTAGACCAGAGAATGGCTGCGTTTTCTTGCTGAAGGACTCCTGACAGAAGTTGTGATTTTCCTACTCCAGTGCTCTCTGAAGTTCATCGGGTTCCTAGCGGTTGCTCCCCTGGGACTCATTGCTGTAATCAATACTGCTGCTGTTGCAGGAACAGCTCTTTAAACCTTGGTCCAGATGAATGATTTCTTCAAGATGTGACTAAATGACTCTCATGGTCCCTGAACAGAACAGGGCAACTGGACGCTTTACAACAAGCACTGCTCTGGGTTCAGGGATGGGTTGAAGTTTTAGAAAACAAATGAGACTGTTTTGTGACTGGAATAGTTCCTCTCTCTCTGTGTCAACCCCCCTCCCCATAGATATAATGGGTCTGCTCATACTTGGAACAAAATTAGATACCATTTGCAAGATCTGAAGGGAAATACGTCTCTAGATACTCTTGCCCTTCATCCTGAGATTGTTCGAGTGTTTAAGGCTAACTCCCAGGAGTTCAGTATGAAACTTAGCCCAGGGTATTTCAAACACATTACAGGGCCTTGACCCAAGTTCATGGTAGCAAAGTATTTACCACACTACTGGTAGTGCTGGTATAGCCTTATTTGTCACATTCATTCTATTGGTTATAGTATCCTGCCTCTTTCAAAAAAGACTAGCCAATACTGGTCCATGACCCATCAAAACGATTATGATCTTTGGCACTTTTGTAAACAGAAAAGGGGGTGATGTTGGATGATAGTCTAAATGTTTTAGGTTTAACATTGGTTCATTCTTTCTCCTCTGCCACAAGGAGTTTAGGTTTATTGGGTTATACCCATCACAGTGCTCTGGAGGGATTCCCATTCCTTTGTGTTTATCTTTAACCTCTCTGTGTTCTGCTTCCCCTATCTGTTAATCTCCTATATCCCCAAATCAGACCCTGTGACTTGTAAGGCCAGATCCTTCTAAGGACTCTGGATTTTGTATTTGTAAGTGGAATATTACTTTTTTCTTTTCCTTATGTCCTTTGCATAATTTACTTCAGAGCAGTGTCCTTTTTGTATAGACACAGGAAGACACATGCTTTTGTAACTTGGGAGTGAATTGACTCCAAATAATAGTTACTCCTGGGCCTATGTCATCTTTATTGACTAAAACCTCAGTTGCTCTTAGTTACTAGCACCCCCAAAGTAGGGCCCCAATTAATGGACTAGATGGACCCAGGGCAAGCCTGTAAGCTACCCTGTCATCAAAAAGTGGACAGGGCAAGCACCATAAAACTTAACTATAAGTTAAGAGCATGGTCATGGACAAATTCTGTCACAATCCAAAGAGAAACAACTGAATAAGGACTCTTCTGGGGTTAGGAAGGGTGAATCTGGCCTGAGGACTGTAGTCTGGGGTCTATAGCAAGATGGCCCCAGGAGAGCCACTCTATAAGCTTAGTATATCTCTTACTGTGTCCAAACAAAATGACTAATATTATTAAGAAGTAGAATTAGATGAATGTTTAAATAGTTATTGGACTAAGGAAAGGAGAAAAGCACCGATAGATGGTATTTCGCCCTTAGGCAGATCACCTTGCTTGATGAGAATTTTTCTTAGAAGAACTTTCCCAGAAGGAAGGGCATATGTTGATTGTGCTAGCTGACCTATGTGTAGTTGCTAGCCCAAACCTTGGAGGTTGGGCTCATGACTGTAGCACTGTAGCACTGTCCTCCCGTGGTTCATCGATTTGCTCAAGCAGGCACCAGTAACATCTCCATTGTGAAACTTGTTGTTACTGTTTTTGGCATATTGAATACGCTATGGGTTGCTTGCCAGGCTCTACTGTGTGGGCGGGATACTCTCAGTAGCTTGTCGGCCTCTCCAAGAGGGACAGAGGAATTGAACCCGGGTCAGCCTCACGCAAGGCAAATGCCCTACCCGCTGTGCTATAGCTCCAGGGCACTTGACTAAGGCAGGGAAACTGGGAGATGGTGGGGGGTGGCAGAGAAGCATGGGGAAAGTAGGAGATAAGGAATGAGGGACAGTGTGAGACTGGAATGGGGCGCTCAGTGAGACTAGAATAGGCCCACGGGGAGAATGGAATAAATGGCGGGACAAAGATCGAAATAAATGGTGACTATCACCAACTAGAATGGTGGCCCTATTTTCTCCTTCATGCGTCTGTTGGTGGTGATGGCTGACTGGGGTGGGGAAGTGGCTTATGTCCACTGAACACACTTTGTGAGAGATCCGCATTTTTGTTTTGTGAAAACACACACCATTGGGAGCATTCAAGATGCTGTGTGTCCTCGAGGAGTTTCAAAGCTGACTCAGCAATTTTGTGGGTTTCCTTTCATCTATTGAGTCTTCCACAGTTGTTTCCACTATTTGGATAATGCTTCTTTCAGTTATCAATTTATGCTGCCCTACCCTTACCCTACCCCACCCCTGCCAAACCCCATTTCTTGAGCATCTGAAGCAGCTCACTACATTATCCTTTGCCCATGGCAAGCCTTTCAAAATGATTCAAAGGAAAACTCATTTGCCCTCATTGCCCCTGCCTATGATCCTCAACCAGCTCCTCGATCTTTGCTTGTCTGCCGCGGGCCAGTAGCCACAGTCTCTTCCTTCCATTTCTGGATGTCCTGTGTTGGTGAAGCTCAGTAAACACACATAAAACTCCTCCAAGCATGACCTCAAATCCTCTTGTACTTGACTACCGGCAATGAAGAAGCAGTCACCATCTTTCTCCCCCACCGCTGTGATGGCTGGGTATGTGTGGGTCACAGGCTTGGGCTTGGAGATTGCAGGCTTGGCTGAGACAAGAACATCACCAGTGTAAGTGCTGCTGGGATAGTGCTGGGCATTTATGGTGGTAGTGGGGATCAAACTCAAGGGTTCCTTCCTGCAAATCAGGGGCTCTACCACAGGTAGGGACCCCACTCAGCATTTCAGAAGCTGTTGAACCCCAGGGTACCCTCGGAGGGAATTTTTCTGTGCACCTCCTCAGTTTCTGGGCAACCTCCCAGTCACCTCTATCACCTCTGTATCTCTTCTTTATCTGCCAGATGGGATATGTATATATTTATATCAAACTATCACAAAACACAAAAACTATTTTTGTCTATTTCCACCTTTTACATAAAACTGATTTGTCATGTTCTGAATAATACCTCAATATGGAAACCTCTCTCTTTTTTTTCCTTCTTACATTTGCTCCTATTTGATTTAGAAAGAACAAAATTTCTATTTTACAAGTTTGATAATAATAGCTAACCAGGATCAAACCATAGCTTAGCGGACTGGAGAAATATTACGATGGGTGAGGCCCTCACCCATTGCATGTAGTCAACAGAGTTTGACTCTTGATATCACACATGGTTCCCTGTCAGGAGTGAAATCTGAGCGCAAAGCCAGGAGTAAGGCCTTAGCATAACAATGCATGGTCCCCAAAGCAAATAAAATCAAACTAATAGCACTATAGCACTGTCCTCCCATTGTTTATCGATTTGCTCAAGCAGGCACCAATAACATCTCCATTGTGAGACTTGTTACTGATTTTGGCATATCGAATATGCCATGGGGAGCTTGCCAGGCTCGGCCGTGTGGGTGGGATACTCTAGGTAGCTTGCCAGGCTTTCTACCCGCTCAAACAAAAGCCAAACCCCATAGCTTAGCAAATTGAAAAAGAGAGGTTAGCTCAAAAGCATTTTGCCTTTGTACTCAACGAAGAAGAGTTTGGTCTGGCTGACATTTGGGTGCAGCTGGGCCTTCTGGGAAGATGGGGTTACTCAAGCAAAGTCTTAGTGAGTACACAAGTTATGAATTCACATCCCAGTAGATGTTGTGCGGAGACTCAACAAACCACACTTACAAGATTCTCCACGGCTTTCTTGGTTTGCTAGTTTTTAAAAACATCTCTTCTTACATACAGCACACAGAGATGGCTAAAGTAAAATAATTTTTCAATGTGATTGATATGTTCCTTGTTCGGAATTTATACAGATTAGTGTCTGGTGAGGAGAGAGAATCCACAGTCTTTCACCCCACCCACAAGAAGATTCACAGACTTATGTTCTCGTTCTAACATAAGTGCCCCCTTTCCCTTTTAAAAAGGGGGAAATGAAGAAAGCATATAGAATATATAGGAAAGATTCAAGAGGAGTAATACCTGCATTTTAGAAATTTTGGAAGGAGAGGAAAGGGAGCACCATGAGTGTTTAGGGAGTTGTGAGAGTTCAGGATTGTACTCAGGACCGTATGCAAGTAGAATGTGAACTTCAAGGAACTGAATGGCTCATGGGTGAAAAACATTCACTCAACCCTGTGAACTATTTCACCAGCTCCTCGTGTGTTTCACAGTTATTGCTGAAAAGATTGGGCACTTTTCTCTGCAGTTCCTGACATTCCAGGACAGAACCTAGAATCATCAGAAACCATCTTTGCTACCGGCAGATGAGGCAAGGAGCAGAGAAAAAGTATCCTGATATTGAAATCAATGACCAGAAAAATGATTTTTCCTAGTTTGTTTTATTGATTGATTTTATATAATATTGTAAATGATACCACAAAACTGACACAAGGTCTGTTTTCTGACATTATTGTTTTCATGAAGTAAAATTACTAGCAGCAATTTAGATTTGTTAACTGCATATAGGCCAGGGATATGGCTTAGTGGTATAATACTTCCCTTACATGTGTGAGGTAATCTCAGGCAGTGCACACACATACACACACAGACACACACACACATGAACACACGTACATTTAATATGAAATAAGCCTATGACTCAAAAAGGTTTTTCAAAATTCTCTTTTGAAATTACTTTTGTCATAATTAGTAAAAATACTAATAAAGATACTAATTAGTAAAAAAGTACTAAATTAGTAAAAATACTAATTTTTAAAGTCTCAAGTTCTCTATGTATATATGTATTGCTTTATGTTACACTTTTTAAGTTTAGTTTCATTTTCTTACCAGAAAACCTGTTGAATGCTGGCACTTTAGGATACAAAAGTCAAGATAATTAAGAGGCTGTACCATATTTTTAAGAACCTGAAAAATTCATTTAAACAACAAAAATCGAGGAATTAATGTTTTATTTCCATGAGCAATCTACAGTTGAAATAGTTGACACTGAGCAGATTTACACAGAAACACCCTAACACAGAGAACTTTGAATCCAGAGGCACAAACCCCAATGATGTGGATCTGAAATGCACTTATATATCATTATCGCTTATCACTTAGCATGAAAGCAAGAAAAGGCAAGTTGTCAGACAAATCCATTTTTCAAAGGATTCTAACATTTTCCTTTATTTAGTAAACATGCTCTGAAAGAATTCAAAGATTAATTCTTAAGTAATTGTTCTGTAGCAATTCCCTAACCACCACAAATGTTATTAAAGACTGAGATTACAAAGAAGATTCTCATGCAAAACACCTCTGCCCTCCACAGGACCTACTTACCTAAACTTTGAAATTTTACACAAGTAGGGGTATTTAACAGTGGGTTCATAAATTTTCACCTGGCAAATCAAATCAGAACTTTAGACCAATCTTTTCTTTCTTGGAGGGAAAGGGGGAGGATGTGAGCCCACAAGTGATGGTGCTGGGGGTTTACTCGTGGCTCTGGGTATAGTGTTCACTCTTGGAGGTGCCGGAGATCAAACTCGGGTCAGATGAGTGCAAGGTCAACGTTTTACCTCCAGTACTATCACTCTGGTCCCAAACTTTAGACCAATCTTTAAACATGAGTGATTTATTAAAAAATGAACCACGTTTGCTTAGGTCGTTGTAGCAGGAAGGAGAACAGACATGAAACAGAATAGGAAGGTGTTTTCCTCCAAAAATATTGCAGGTTCGAATTGTTGTGAAACCTTCCCCGAACCTGGGGCCCAAACACAAATCACATGTGGATGTCCTGTAAGGAGGAAGCATCAAGTCAATATTCTGCACAGTTCTTCTAACAGAAAGACATTTTGCTTGATACTAAGATTTAAGATAAAATATGAGCGAGAACAAAAGGGAATGCCCTGCCACAGGAGTGGAGTGGGATGGGGGGGTCGGGTGGAGGGATTCTTGGAGCATTGGAGGTAGGGAATGGGCACTGGTGGAGGGTTGGGTACTCAATCATTGTATAACTGAAATCCAAGCACAAAAATCTGTAAGTCTACAACTGTACCTCATGGTGTTTCACTAAAAATAAATAAATAAATAAATAAATAAATAAAATATGGCCTTTATACTTATGATCTTACCATCTAATTGACCAGCTAAGACACATAAAGTGGAAGTTGCTATGAGAATAAATTAGTAAATGAATATTCTAGATGGGAAAAGTTGTCATTATCGGTATACACCATAACACAGGAAAAGTTCTCCTTATTTGTATACAATATAACACAGTCAGGCTGCTCTGTGTATCAAATAATGGTACTTGAAGCCAATCATATAAATAGTAGAGTGTATAAAATATACAATCTATATATTTTTTCCTTAAAGTTGACCAAATGTCTTTATCAGCATCATGTATTATAACCTAACCTTTCCTTCTGATCCCTTATCAACGTATTTGTTCACTATTCTTAAAACTGGGGCTGGAGCGATAGCACAGCAGTAGGGCGTTTGCCTTGCACGCAGCCAACGTGGCCGACCCAAGTTCGATTCCTCCGCCCCTCTCGGAGAGCCTGGCAAACTACCGAGAGTATCTCGCCCGAACGGCAGAGCCTGGCAAGCTACCGGTGATGTATTCGATATGCCAAAGACAGTAACAACAAAGTCTCCAATGGAGACGTTACTGGGCCCGCTCGAGCAAATCGATGAACAACGGGAGGACAGTGACAGTGACAGTGACATTCTTAAAACTGTGCTCAGATTTTAGAGATAGATTGTAAATGGTTTCAGCAAACTCAACATCTGGTTCTTCAAATTACCTTTATCTTTAGACCTCTGGTTAGCTAAAAGAAAAATATAGTTCTAATTTTAAAAATATAAAATATAAAAATATAACTCTAATTTTCACTCTAAGTTACTATGTATTGTTTCATAGTATCACTACAGATACAGATTATATAGTGATTTGTATCAGTGTTCTGAAATTTTATGACAATATATAACAAAGTTTTCTGAAAAATCAAAATTCTATGAAAGGAATGAAGTATTTTATTAAGAGAAAGAAATATGGAACATCTTAGAGGAAATCCTAAGACATTCCATAATGAATACTCTCTTTTTGAGAAAGGAAAAACTATGTTTTATTTTCTTAACATGCTGGGAATTGAACCTGGGTCTGCTGCGTGCAAGGCAAATGCTCTACCCACTGTGCTATCGCTTGGGACCAGGGGCTGAGATCTCTAAGCTTGCTTGGATCGGGACTGGGCCTCCTCCACCCAGATCCCCCATTTTCCAGTAGCTTGGCAATTATACCCATAAAGTGCACCTGGCATGTAATCCCATCAACGGCCAAGATCCAGAGGCTATTAAAAAAGCTATTATAGTCTAGCCCACTGGTGTTCCTAAAGCAGCACACATGTGTTTGGTTTTAACATACTTGCTTGTGTTCTCTTATATACATTCTCCGTCCCTCTCAGCGAGCCCGGCAAACTACCTAGAGTATCCCACCCACACAGCAGAACCTGGCAAGCTCCCCATGGCGTGTTTGATATGCCAAAAACAGTAACAATAACAGGTCTCATTCCCCTGACCCTAAAAGAGCCTCCAATACATCACCATTGGGAAGGACGAATAAGGAGAAGCTGCTAAAATCTCAGGGTTGGGACGAATGGAGACGTTACTGGTGCCTGCTCGAGCAAATCAATGAACAACAGGATGACAGTGATACAGTGATATATATTAGATATGTATATATGTGTGTGTGTGTATGTACATATACATATATTTATAGAGAAAGAGATAAAGTAGAGAGAGAAGGAGGAAGAGAGGTTGAGGGAGGGAGGAAGAGAGAAAGAGGGCAAGACAGACTCTTATGTTATTCTAACTCTACAAGACATAAAAGCAGACCCATACTTCCCCTTTCTGAACTTGCTGCTACAGCCTGCATTGTCCATTGTCCACTTCCTAACTTATAAGCTGTTTAATACCCAGTAATGCCCATTTTTTTCTATTCAGCAGTTTCTGTGGTTCTTGAAAATGTTTTTCATTTCCTATTAAAAAAATTTTACTTCTTTAAAAATTTAAAGTAGGTATGTCATATTCTACAAACTTTTCTAATCCCTTTGATCCTTAGAGACTGGCATCTGTTGATTATATTTTGCTGTTTATTTTTGCTGACTTAGTTCTTCATTGTGATGTATATAGTAAGTATGTATTATACATTTATAGAAATTGTTACTTATCACTTAATCACTTATTGTTACAAATTATATAATGTGACCTTTAAGACAACCAAAATATAATTCTCATACATATTTAGTCTTTCCCCACATCCTGGCTCTTTGCTTCTAAGAGTATTGGGATTTTCTAAGTTTTGAGAGGCTGTCTACTGTTATTTCATGAGGAGTCTGTATGGGAAGCATCTCAGAAGGGGATTTGGTTATTCAGGGAACCAACCACCTACCTAGATTCCCATCCTTAGACTTGTAGAGAAAGAGGAGAGCTTTTTGTTCTGTTTTTTTTTTTAAATTTTTATTTAATCACTGTGAGATAGATACAAGCTTTCATGTTTGGGTTACAATCACACAAGATCAAATACCTATCCCTCCACCAGTGCACATTCCACAACATCAATATCCACAGTATACCCCCCATTTCCCACCCTCCCCCTGCCTCCATGGCAGATAATATTCCCCATACCCTCTCTCTACTTTTGGGCATTATGGTTCGCAATACAGACACTGAGAGGTTATCATGTTTTGTGCTTTATCTACTTTCTGCACACATCTCCCATCCCGATCGGTTCCTCAAGCCATCATTTTCTTAGTGATCCCTTCTCTATTCCAGCTGCCTTCTCCCCTTTTCTCATGAAGCAGGCTTCCAGCTATGGAGCAATCTTCGTGTCCCATGTATCTACTACCCAAGAGGAGGGGTTTGAGGCTAAGTTCAATTGCCAGTGGCCAGGGAGTTCATTCCTTTGTAGACATGAAGGCTCTATACAAACCCAAGAGAATCAACTTCAGACAGCTTCTGTCTTATTGAATATTGTGGATATTTGGGGAAAGTGATACATGTTTCATTGTAATAAAATGGTGACCTAGTGAATAAATAGGTTTTCTGATTTCTGTGAGCTGTCTAGTAAATTGATTGAACCTATAAAGAGATCTCTAGCCAGGAGATCAGAAGCATGGGACACATCCTGGGCTTGCAACCAGTGTCTAAGCTGGAGGGAAATCTTGGGTAATTTAGTCATTCACTTGTGGCAACTGGCACCTTCTCCAGGTAAATTGTGTCTAAAGTAACTAACAAGGTCATCAAAAATCTCATGACCAATTATATCTCAATGTAAAGTTAAAAAATAAATCAGGGCCTGGTTTCTTTCTTACTTGTAGATTTTCTTTTCTTTTGGGGCTATACCTGATAGCACTTTGGGTTTACTCCTGGTAGTGCTGGAGGTAGAGGCATCATGCAGTACCTGGGATCAAACCCAGGGCTCTGGGCTATAGACACAGCTCAATGGGCTGAGCAAATGCTTTGCAAGGGAGGCTAGGTTTATTCCCCGGCATTGCATGGTCCTCTGAGCACTGTGCCCAAAGTGTCCTCCAAGCCCCACCAGAGATGACCCTCCAAAATTAAACAAGAAAACAAACAAAAAACAAAACCTGGGCATATGCTCCCATTCTTTGAGCTGGGTCCTGGTAGATTTGTTTTTTTAATCACCTTTTCCAATTTCTCTATTGATTACTAGTAGGCTCAGATTTTCTGCCTTTATTGAATCAATATTTTTAATTTACATGTTATTGGGAAATCATTTTAATTAGGCATAATAATAGTTAAATCAGTACTATAAGCAAAAATAATCAATAATGCAGTAAAATACTTTTATAGCATTTGAATGAAAATAAGAGTTAATCCTGAGTGGACTGTAAGAATGTCTGGTTTAAAATCCCTACTTTGAGGGACTGGAGTGATAGCAAAGCGGGTAGGGCGATTGCCTTGCATGCGGCTGACCTGACTCGATTTCCAGCATCCCATATGGTCCCCTGAGCACTGCCAGGAGTAATTCCTGAGTGCAGAGCCAGGAGTAACCCCTGTGCATTGCCAGGTGTGACCCAAAGAGCAAAACAAACAAACAAACAAACAAAAACTCAACTTTGAGATAATCACTGTCACTGTCCTCCCGTTGTTCATCGATTTGCTCGAGTGGGCCAAGTTACGTCTCCATTGTGACAATTGTTACTGTGTTTGGCATATCGAATACATCACGGGTAGCTTGCCAGGCTTTGTCATGTGGGCAAGATACTCTCTGTAGCTTGCTGGGCTCTCCGAGAGGGGCAGAGGAATTGAACTCGGGTCGGCCATATTGGCCGCTTGTAAGGCAAACACCCTACCCACTGTGCTATCGCTCCAGTCCCACTTTGAGATAATAATTTGAGATAATAAGTAATAATTTTAGCACTGATCATTGATCCCTACGAGGAAGAGAAGTTGCTCAATGTATGTCTTTATTCCTAGTCTCAAGTTAGTGTAAATATTTAAAATCCACGTTTATGTCTTTACTAATGAAAATTATTTATGATTCAGCTGTATAGACAGCTTCATCTCAGCAATCTATAACGAACAGATTTAAATAATAGATTTTAAGAATAACTTGAAAATATTTGATTTAAAGAATAACTTGAGAATATTAGAAAATGGGTTGAATTCAGAAGAAAGGAAGAAGAACGGAGAGAGAAAGTGTGAATAGTAAAACAGCCATCTGGACCTATAATAAGGAACATTTTAAATATTTAAGGTATGTTTTGGTTAAAAATATTTCAGGATTTGCTCACCATCTTAAGTGCTTTGCAATTTCAGGAATATCTCCATAATATAGGTGTAATTTATTTTTCAAATAGATCAAAGCAGCCATCTGGGTGAGAGGCTGTGGCTTAAAAACAGTGTGAAGAGTCTGTTTCCAAAAGAAGTAATGAGTGAAATTATTTTCAAAAGAAATTTTTTTCAGATTAAGCTTCAAAATTGCAGATGGAAAAGTTACCAGTTCATTCCCATCAATATTGAATTTTTCAAGTGATCTGCAAATAAATGAAAGTATATTTTAAAAAGTATTCATGTAGTTTATAATATTAAATAAAATTCTGTGTTCCTGAATTTGATCCCCGCTATCATAAAAACAAAGAAGAGGTGGGGGAAAGAGAAGAAAGGCAGAGTAGAGAGGAAGAAAATACAAGTGTTAACTTCTTTCTTTCTTTCTTTCTTTCTTTCTTTCTTTCTTTCTTTCTTGAATCACTGTGGGAAAAGTTACAAAGCTTTCAGGTTTAAGTCTTGGCCATGCAATTATCAAAAACATTTTCCTTCACTAGTACTTATTTTTCACCACCAAGAACCCCAACATACCCCCCCAACCCTGCCAATGCCTGTGAGGCAGATGAATTCTAGTTAACACTCTATCTACTTTGATTAGATTCATTGTTTCAACAAAAGATGCAACATTATTATTAAGAATTTACACCCCAAAATCAGACCTGCTGAAAAGGCATTGTGAAATAATTTGTTTTCTACAGCTGGTTACAAAAATCAAATGATTACGACTGTGCGATTTTGGATTTCTGATATTTTACTTAGTAAGCCTGGAAGTATTTCTGCCAAGAGTCACATAATTATAAGATTGGTTTCTGTGGCTCTGGAGCCATGGCCGTGCCGGATAGCCGCTCGTGGGGGGCAACTCGTGACCTCGGTAGGGCATGAAGGATGAGCCGGGAACGCCCCCCTTCCCATGAGGTTTCAGTCGCCCTGTCACGACTGGCTCATACCTGGCTTTCCAAAAGGCTCCGAGGCAGCCGCCATCTTGCTTTCCAGAGGGAAAAAGACCAAGTCTTAACTTCTTTAGGATGAACAGAATTAATTTAAAAAGCAACTGAATCAAGAATTATGCAAATATACCCAGTTGTGTGAGTTAAATAGTAGAGTTAAAGTACTTGTTTTGGGCCTTTGTAACACACCATCACTACAGAAAAAGGAAAAGAATATTCACAAATACAGAGCCAATGTTACAGAATTTCCCATTTTATGTGCTTTTCTTGAAGTTTTGTTTGTTCTTTTTGCTTTTGCAGCCACATTCCACAGTACTTAGAGGTTCCTTCTGGTTCTGTGTTTAGTTAGTTCCTGGGAGTGCTCTGGGATCCTGTGGTGACTGGAACAGGGTGGGGAGGTGTGACCAGACCTTCTGTGTTTGTGTTCAGCCTACTAAGCTATTCCTCTGGCCCCTTGACCATGTTATCTCCTTTCTAGTGGTAGAAATAGAAAAAAATTCTTTTCAGGAGGGGCAAATAAAAATCAATCAAAGTGTGTGTGTGTGTGTGTGTACACACACACAAGGATCAACCTTTAAAAACATGTTATTAGTCTCTTATAGAAGGCCTTAAAGCATCCTGGGTGAAATACAACAATCTTCACCCACTTTCCCCTAAGGAAACTTTTTGGATCATTTTCAGCAGTCTATTCATAACAAACAAGGTAAAGGTAAAGGTAAAGGTAAAGGCCCTCCCATTGATCATCGATTTGCTCGAGCGGGCCCAGTAACGTCTCCATTGGAGACTTTGTTGTTACTATGTCTGGCATATCAAATACTCTCGGTAGCTTGCCGGGCATAACAAACAATACAAAATAAATTATTTTGGTTCTTCTTTGGGTCATGGGTTGGGGTTTAGGATGGAAACATCCTAAATATGGTGTCGGGAAGGTGTAACGATGGTGGAATTAGCGTTCAAATATTAAATGTAATCAAATATTGTGAAGTAGTTTATAAAAATAAAATAATTTAATAAAAACAAACAAAAAAATCAAAAGCTAGTTATCTTTCCAAATATATCAGGGACAAAGAGGTGGTTGATACAGGACTTTTTAGGTAATAAGCTACTTTGGGCTCAAGACTTTCATTCGCATCTGGTTTCACCTCCCTTAACCACACAATTTATGTTCTGCCAATAATATTAAAATAGAGTCTGGGGGCCCCAATCGCTCCTCAAGTGCTTTTGACTGGTAGGTTTCTCAATGTCTGGGAAAGGAGCTCAGCATCAGACCTGCAAGAGCAAGTGGGTTCAGTCACGTTTCCATCTTACACCAAGCACAGGCCAGGAGGCCAGCAGTAGCAGAGAATCTTGTGGACAGCCAGTAAGAAGAGTGCTGCCCTCCAGACAAATGCTAGTGCAGAGCTCAGAGTCAGGATGGGGCACTGCCCTCAGGATTTGGTTTATCTGCAAGGGGAAGAAGATCTTACCAAACCTGTTGGCCACTGCTTATAAGCAGGAGCAAGGGAAGCGCGATCCTTTCAAAGCTGGAACAGTTCCCACTACAACATGCAGTGAGGAAACTTCTTCTGGCATGCCTGAACTGTGTGCTCCAGATCCTAGGGCTGCTGCTCTGCCAGAGAGGCAGAGGAGCAAAGGAATCAGGGCAGGGCACAGAGCAAGTGGGACAGATAGGTTAGAAGTGATGGAGACAGAGAAGCACTGAGTAAGACACTTTACTAAGGTGCACGTCTGCCCTCCATACTTCCTGAACCCAAATATGTGATTTGTAAAGCTGAAGAATTAACTGGGTGCAATGAAGAACACTATCTTTATGGAGATCTCAGAGGCTGACAAAGGGGGCCAAAGCAAGGGTTCTGCTTGTAGGGGAAAGGCTGCATCCCCGCCACCTCGCAGTCCCCTAAGCACAGAGCCTGGGGTAGATCCAGAATACTGCTGGGGGTGGCTCAACTTTCTTTCTTGGGGTCCAAACCAGGCAGTGTTCAGTATTACTCCTGGGTCTGTGCTCAGGGATCATCCCTGAACGGCTCTGGGAACTATATGGGGTGCCAGGGATTAAACCTAGGTTTCCTTGTACAAGGCAAGAACTTTACCTGTTGTGCTATCTCTCTGGCCTCAGGCCCCAAATTACTTTTTAAAGTGTTTTTTTTTTTAAAAGATTCAGGCAAAGAAAAACTAACTCTGAGGGTGGGGTGGGGGATTTAATTCATACAGAAAGAGATCTGCCTTGAAAAAAAGATCCAAGAGACCCCACAATGCCAGGAATAGTTACTACACACCTGTAACTGTGGCCCCCAGAGCAAATGAAAAACCAAACAAAATTTTAAAAAAAGTAAAAAAAAATCAAGCTGCCATCAAGAACCTCCTTTGCCACACTGAAACTCTGAGAATGACACACAGAGGAAAACATTAAAAGGACAGCAGTGCAGGATGCCCACTCGTTCTAGAAAATATTTATCTGTTAAAGACAAAGAGAGGAAAAAATTATCCATGTTGGGCGTGGGTAGATAGCTCAGGGCTGGAGAGTGTCTGGGATCTCGAGAGCACATGGTTGACTAACATCCCTGAGAGCAATCCCTGAGCACATCTAGGTGTAGCTCTCAAACCAAACAAACCCAAAATGAACTGCACGCTCCATCTGAGAATAATATAAAAACCAACAGTAACAAAAAACTGCAGCAATGAACTGAAGAAAATACATCAGGGTTCAAGATGAGAGGAAAGGGAAATTGTAAGCCATGAATCTTAAAATACATAATGAAATCACGATCACGATCATCCTGTTGTTCGTCGATTTCCTCGAGCAGGCACCAGTAACGTCTCCTTCTTCCTAGCCCTGAGATTTTAAAAGAGCAATTTCAATGCTCTTTCAGGATTAGGAGAATGAGACCCATCATTGTTACTGGTATTTGGCATATTGAGTACGACACGGGAAGTTTGCCAGACTCTGCCATGCGGGCAGGATACTTTTGGTAGCCTGCCAGGTTCTCCAAAGAAAAAATAAGATAATAAGATGTCGCAGGGCTGGGAGCTGGGTTTTATAGTCTCTGCATCTTGGCCATTGATGGGACCAACCTGGCGCTGGTGGCAGCTGATGGGTGTGACGCCTACCTACTAGAAGATGGGGGGTCTGGTTGGAGAAGGCCCAGTCCCAATCCGAGTAGGCTTGGAGACCTCAGCCCCGGAACCCGCATGCCTGGGTTCCTCTGTCAGTTCTTTCATGCATGAGGCCCGTCCGGACGTGTGGAGAGTGGTCCCAGCATGGCCGTGGCTGGCTCTGGAGGTCCTCAGCTGCTGGGACTCTTCTCGGGGTGGGGATGGGGGGGAGAGAAACTCAACCCTGCCCCTTCCAAGGGGCCCCGGTGAGGACAGCCAGGCGCAGGGGCAGGAGACTCTCTGCTGTTTTCCTCCGGGAGAAATATGAATGGAAAATAGCTCAAAATGTATGGAAAATCTAAGAGTTGAGTAAAAAAGAGAAGTGATGCAAAGGGGGAATCTAATGGGGAATCTGAAACAAAAATTCTGAAACCATCTGAGCAAAATTTAGAATTTGTTTGTTTGGGGTTTACTTCAAGCTCTGAGCTCAGGGATCACACCTGGTTGTCTTTTGGGACCTTTTGAGGTGCCAGAAATTGAACTTGGCCATGTGCAAGAAAAGTGCCCTACCCTCCCTACCCTCTGTACTTTGCTCCGTACTAAAATTATTTTTATTGGGGTTCTGTGATTTACAATATTATTAATGATGGTTTCCCATACTCATAATTCCAACAGCACACCCATCATCAGTGTTCCTGCCTTCCTCCCCCAGGGATCTCAATGCCTAGAATAGGATGAGGTATAAAGAGAATAACTAAAGAGTGCTACTAAAAAATTATTTCTGTAATAGTTATTAATAATTATTCTAAAGTCAATATCAAAATAGCATGATATTGACCTAAAAGAATACAGAGAAACCTTATGGACTTTTTAAAAATAAGTGTAAAAGGGGCCAGAGAGCATTTGGTTGACCCAGGTTCAATACTCAGCACCTCATAAGCTCCCCCAATCCCCACCAGGAGTAAACCCTGAGCAAAGCTGGGCATGGCCGCCAAACAAAAACAATGTCCCCCCAAATTAGCATTAGGAAAAAACAGAACTTGGCATTTAAATTACTGTATCATTAGCTTTTTGTGTTTACATATTGCCCTATAAAAATAAATAAAACGCTACAGATATCTACATGAAAAAGCTCTCATTTTATTAAGTAGCCATTCATGTGTTTCTTTTTTTATTTTGTTTCTTTTTAAAATTTTTATTAGTGAAACACCATGAGGTACAGTTGTAGACGTACAAATTTTTGTGCTTGTATTTCAGTTACACAATAATCGAGTGCCCATCCCTCCACCAGTGCCCATTCTCCACCACCACTGATCCCAGTATCCCTCCCACTCCCCATTCCCCCCATCTCACCCTGCCTCTGTGGCAGGGCATTCCCTTTTGTTCTCTCTCTCCTTTTGGGTGCTGTGGCAAAAGAGGCATTGAATGGCAATTATGTTCGGTCTATAGTCTATTTTCAACACATGCATTTATTTAGATAATAAAATTTTTTCTTTTAAAAACTTTGCAGAAAGATGGCGGCCGCACCGGAGCCTTGTGGACAGCAGGTTTGAGCCGGGGGTGGGAGTGGCAGGGACCTTATGGGAAGGGGGGCGTAATGGGCCGTCCTTCACGCCCGACCGAGGTCGCCAGCTGCCCCCCACGAGTGGCTCTCCGGCACGGCCACGACTCCAGAGCACAGAAACCAATCTCTTAACTATCTAACTTTTAATAGAAATTCTTCCAGGGTTAATAAGTAAAATAGCAGAAATCCAAAACCGCGCAGCCGCTGTTGTGGCCGTGCAACATCATTTTATTCTTAAACCAAGTTGTAGAAAGCAAATCATTTCACAACGCTGTTTCAGCATGTCTGATTGGGGGGGGGTCCTAAACTCTAAACAATAATTGTGCATCTTCTATCGAAACAATGTATCTAGTCAAAGTAGATAGAGTATTAACTAGAACTCATCTGCCACACAGGAATTGGGAGGGGTAGGAGGTGGGGTTCTATTGGGGTTCACGGTTAAAAATAAGTATTGGTAAAGGGAAATGTGTTTGATATTTACATGACTGAGACCTAAACCCGAAAGCTCTGTAACTTTTCCCACAGTGATTCAATAAAGAAATAAATTATAAAAAAAAATAAATAAAAACTTTGCAAACAAAACATAAGAATTACTTTTTGGCAAATTTTATGCATCACAGATGTTAATTTTTCCAGTATTGGGGATCAAACGTAGTGACTTACACATGTCACATATTATGTTTTATAGCTATTAAATAAATTATAGCACTTGATTTTCTTCATCACAACCACCGCCAAGTATATCTTTAACGGTCATTTGCTACTTTCAAAATACCTGAGTTTCTGAATATCATGTGGAAGAGTAGTAACATTATTGTAGGCAATATCAAGTTTCTTGAGACGACGCAAGTTGAACAACCTGAAACAGAAAGAGCAAGTGAGTTGTAAAGATAATTATGAGCTTTATCATTATTTGAATAAATAATAAGAACTATAGTTCCTAAAACTATATATCTATCTTTTAAAATGGCTTGAAATACTTGGAGTGGATAAAGTCCCATTAAGAAATGCCACTTGCCTATTGACCAAGAACCACTGAATGTAGCCTCATACCTCCTGAGCACAGTTTGGGAAGCCCTTTCTCCGCAAAAGAAAAGTTCTTGATGGGCCAGAGAAGTGGCTCAAAGGGCAGCTGGAATGCACACTTTGCAGACAGGAAACCTGGGTCTGATCTCCAGCCTTGCATGGACCCACAAGTACTTTCAGGAGCAACAAAAGGAGGGAAGGAAGGAAGGAAGGAAGGAAGGAAGGAAGGAAGGAAGGAAGGAAGGAAGGAAGACAGGAAGACAGAAACGAAAGAAGGAAGGCCATCTAAGAAGTTACTAACATTTAGATAAACTTATCTTATGTAATGTGTAATATTTAATGCTTCAAATATAGACATAGTGTAACATTTATAAATATTTCTATTTCTTTTTTGTGATTATGGTACATGGGATCCAGTCCAGGGCCTCTTGTAACTCTTCCAGCTGATTGCTCCTGAGCTATAATATCCTTTGTAATATTTAGTTCTGTGGGCTCTTCCAGCAAAAGAATTGAATCTGAGTCAGGGCCTCAGAAGTGCTGGTTACAGCCTGAGCCTGTTCAAGTGGAAGGCGGCTGGAAGAGATGTCACCCAGAGTCTAAGATCTCCCTGGGTATGTGCATGGAGGGCCAGAGTACATGAGTGGTAGCATCAGGACTGAGTTGAATTCTTGAACATTCTACTGGTGTCTGAGAATTGACTATTAATGTGGGGAGGTCAGTTCATACACTGACTTTGAAGTTGGGTTTAAAAGTAATAAAACAACCATTTATTTTGTACACAAATATCCCTATTCATGTTAGAGTTGAAAGGATTTTGCTGATTCTGCAGGCTTCTCTCAGTTTATAGGTCAGCATAGTGAGGCCAAGAGTGGTTTTCTTTAGATCAAGTAGATACCTACCAAGTTTAAAGTAAGAAAACCTAGATTTCCTAATTCCAAATTCAACTGTCGTTCTTTCCTTATCACAGCTGTCAAGGAATAGGTGCAAGATTGTCCCCCAAGCTTCATGACAAGATTTGTGCTCAGAAATTATATTGTTAGCTATGTATTAACTAGTTCCATTATTTGTCATCTATGTACTTGGCAAAATTATATTCAACACACATAGTACAAAACATTAGAGCAGAATAAGAATTACTAACGGACTAAAAGTTCCTGCTGCTTTCAAAAAAATAATAAATTCAGACTTTTCTAAATAATATACTATATTTTGTTTGCTTCTGATCTCCAACTATCAACTTTACCCAGCTGGAAGAGAAGTAAGCAAATTAAAGGCCATGTTTAAAATTCTAAGGAACTTAAGTTGTTGAATTGCAGAGGGGATTTCTTTGATAGGATTATTTCTCAGGTGCAGCACTTGTAAATTTTTAACACAAAATACCTAAGGAACAGAAAAGAGGAAAAAAACATGAGTGGAATGATAAAGTCTGAGAATACTTTTTTGCTATGTTTTAGAAAGTCTTTGAATGTAGTAGTCAGTGCAGAAAGAGCATAGTAACAGTAATTGGGTGTATTATGTATTTTATCAAATACCGTTAGTATAACTTCACAACAACTAACTAGCATTAACGTGTGATTTTATGGTAAGATATTGCACAGTAAAATTTTTGATTCAGAAGTCTTTTTCTAGTTGATAAAAATAGTATTTGATCAAACATGTGGCTTCATTGGAGTTAGTTATTTAAACAGTGAAGAAGAAATGAAATATTTATAGAAACAGAATTAACCTTAGCAATCAGGGAAGTGTCAAATAATCATATTTATATTTTTTACTCTTACACAACGGTAATTTTGTATATGCTAATTTTTCATACAAATTAAAAAATGAATGTCATTGATATCTATGATCTTCAATGTATTTCTTACTTTTGGGTGAATCTTAATATGGCTAACATAAGCTCTCTTAAACAATAAATTACACATTTTAAGTTTACACCAAGATCTAAAATTGGTAGAGCTTACTTTTATTTACAAACAGGAAATATAAGCTTTTATTTCTTTCAACATTGTTTTGGCTATTCATTGTCTCTTGAATTTCCACATAAACTTTAGGATTGCCCTCTCCCCACCCTCTGTACTTGCTTTAAAAAAAAGTAAAAAAACTGTAATTTTCATAAGGATTGCATAAAATCTATAGATAAACTTGGGAATCTAGTAATCTTAACAATGTTAAAAAGAGAAACAAACATGACCTATATTTTAGGTCACCTGGCTTCTGGCTGTCTTACCAAATGTAAGTGACCTGGGTGATATGGGAATTCAGAGAGGTAGTGGGGGTGATGAGGGAGAAGGGGAGAGAGAGAGAGAGAGAGAGAGAGACAGACAGACAGACAGACAGACAGACAGACAGAGACAGACAGAGACAGAGAGACAGAGAGGGGAGGGAGGGAGAGAGGCAGTCAGGGAGAGAATGATGGAGAGAGGAAGGAAGGAAGGGAAGGAGGGAGGGAGGAAGAGATAGGGAACAGAGACAAGAGACAGTGAGAGAGGGGACTTCGTGGTGTTGACCCACCTCTAACTCCCTGGGGAAGCTCTAAGGAGGGCTGGGCTGGCAAAGTTGGCCATCGGTACCTGCCTTGGATACTGGTGACTCCCGTCTCAGGGGCAACCATCAAGCTGCTCTTTGCAGGAAAAGAAGTCAGGAATCCAAATACTACTCCGCCATTAAAAGCATGAAACTGTGGGGTCCATGGATATGGTTTAAAGGTAGAACACATGCCTACCATTTGCAATATATTGAATTTGATCCTTGGTACTGCATGGCCCTCTGAGCATTGTAAGGAGTATCCCTGGGGTGACTTCTAATCACAGCCTAAGCCTGAGTATTGATAACAGTGGCCACAATAAAAAAAAAAAGATTAAATTGTGCTCTTTGAGACAAATGAATGAAATTTGAGGTAAATGAAGTAAGTGATAGGCAATTAGTAGGCGTTTTTACTCCTATGTGGAACTACTGAAAACAAACAACTGACAAAACCCAACAAATCTAACTCCTAGACTCAGTGAAAACCATAGTGGTTACTAGAGGGAAAGGAGTTGTGTCACAGAACAGGTACCGGGTGACAGCATGGTGGCAATGGGAAATTCTGTAATTTCAATGAAATTCTGAAATTTTCAGGGGTCAGTGAGTTCTATGTACATATCTGACTATATGGATATCCACACATATACATAAGTCTTGAAATTATGGAATTTGTGAACTAATGATCAATTAAAAGGGAGAAGGGAAAATGAAATAAAAGTCAATTTATTAGTACTCTTTATTCTGGAAGTCAGTTCATAAAACTCAGTAGCCCATAGAGCAATGACTTCAAATATTGAAAACATAATCTGTCCTAATTACTTATTTAAGACATTAAATTATCTTCTCTTATATCTGATCATTTGTGATATATTTTATTAAACAGAATATTCTATTTTAGTCAATGATAATTGAAACTTGTCATAACATCATATATCACTGCTATTAAATATTTTTAAGACTTTCATCAACACATGGTAAGGCTTATTTTAGATTTTATTTAGAGTTAGAGAAAAAGTGAATTATTTTATATATATATTGTACAGTTAGGAGAACATAAAGTTTAGGGCCTAACTATAACACATTGAGAATTATATTATTCCTAAAAAGGAGAAACTGTATTTTGATACTTCTGAATATATATCTTTTTGGATTTGATCCAAAATACATTTAATTTTATTGAAAAGCTAAGATTTCATAAAGATTATTTTAAAGTTATTATTCATAACAAAAACTATTGCAATATATACAATAATACAAATAGACTCACTTCTGTGGGAAAGCTGGTAAGATCATTAAATGATAAGTTAATATATACCAATTGGTGAGCCAACGGTGTCAAGTCCGGACAATTTATAATGAAAAAACCCTAAAAGAAATTGACAAAAATAAAAGGTTAATTGTTAGCAATACACAAACTATTTTATACAGGAGTCAAAGAAAACAAAAAGGAGATAATCTCAGTGATGAAATTTGAATTAATGCAACACATATACATTTACCTTTGATTAGTTCACTTTTGCCAAGATAATTTAAGTATGTAAAGGATAGAAACAAAATGGAAACATAATTTTATATATATTGTACAGTTAGGAGAACATAAAGTTGAGGGCCTAACTATAACACATTGAGGATTATATTATTCCTAAAAAGGAGAAACTGTATTTTGATACTTCTGAACATATATCTTTTTTGGATTTGATCCAAAATACATTTAATTTTATTGAAAAGCTAAGATTTCATAAAGATTATTTTAATAATCTTTGTCATGTCAATTATTAACAGTGGTTAATGTCTACTGTATGCTGAAATAGAAGTAATTAAAATAATTAAGTATTTATGTATGTAGTAATATGATATTATATGTGTCTGCAGGTATTATTTCAGTTATTAGCACTGTAGCACTGTCCTCTCGTTGTTCATCGATTTGCTTGAGCGGACACCAGTAATGTCTCCATTGTGAGACTTGTTACTGTTTTTGGCATATCGAATATGCCATGGGGAGCTTGCCAGGCTCTGCCATGTGGGCGGGATACTCTCGGTAGCTTGCCGGGCTCTCCGAGAGGGGCGGAGGAATCGAACCTGGTTCAGCTGCATGCAAGATAAACGCCCTATCTGCTGTGCTATTGCTCCAGTCCATGTCAATTATTAACAGTGGTTAATGTCTACTGTATGCTGAAATAGAAGTAATTAAAACTTTCGTGTCTAATCATATAGTTTTACTTCGTTTATGTTTTGTTTTGGGGGCCACATCTCCGGGTGTTTAGGAGCCCCTCTCAGCAGAGTGCTTGGGGGTAATTCCCTTCCTAGTGTTGGTGATGAGACTGTGTAGTGCCTGGGATCAAACCTGACCTTCCATATGCACAGTAAGTACATGCTCCATCCCTTTGACTTCTCTCTTTGGCCCTACTTATATTTTCATGTCTCCACTTCTACTTCTTTGTTAATTTTCTATGAATCTAATGAAATCTATTTAAAACTTTGTGTTTAAATATGTCAATCTCTGACTTAGAAAAATGGATGCCTTATCATAAATTAAATGTTTAATTTTAAAAGTCCTATGTTGAATCCCTAATTTTTATCTGTGGGATTTGGGGTGGGGGGTGAGACCTTTGGGAAATAAGAAGGATTAGATGAGGTTTTAAGGATGAAAACTTCTGATGAAATTAGCAATGATTCAAAGAGGAGGAAGGGATCATAACCCTTCCCCCTTCCCCACCTTAAACAGTTTTTTATTGTATCACTAACCTTCATTTGTTAGTAATTTATTGATATTTTTCTTATAAAAATACTACTCTGTGATTTTCTTTACTTGTAATATCTTATCTATGAGTTACACAAAAAGAATTAGCAAATATTCCTCCTCCTTTCTGACGGAGTTATTGTAAATTGGTTTTAGTGTTTCTTTAAATGGTTGCTAGAAACCTACCAGTGACATTCTGTGTACCTGAAACTTTCTTTGTTTGAGCTCTTAAACTTTCAGTTAGATTTTTAATAGAGGCAATACTATTCTGAAGTTCTATTTCTTGTATCTGTTTCTGCAAGTTGTGTTTTTACTTATTTATTTATTTATTTGCTTTTTGGGTCACACCTGGCAATGCACAGGGGTTGCATTGCACTCAGGAATTACTCCTGGCGGTGCTCAGGGGACCATATGGGATGCTGGGAATTGAACCTGAGTCAGCCGCATGCAAGGCAAACGCCCTACCCACTGTGCTATTATAGCTCCAGCCCCAGCCCAAGTGTGTTTTTAAAGAAATTTAGAGTTTTATTTATTTATTTATTTATTTATTTTGCTTTTTTGGGTCACATCCGGCGATGCTCAGGGGTTACTCCTGGCTCATGCACTCAGGAATTACTCCTGGCGGTGCTCGGGGGACCATATGGGATGCTGGGAATCGAACCTGGATCGGCCATGTTGGCTGCATGTAAGGCAAACGCCCTACCTGCTGTGCTATTGCTCCAGCCCCAAGAGTTTCATTTATTGAAAAAGTTTTCCTTAATATATAATTTTCTGTTTTAACATATGATAAAATTAGTATTTTATTTCACTTTTTTTTTTGAATGACACCTGGCTATGCTTGGGATATACTCTTGGATCAGGGATTGCGGGTCTTCCTGGCAGTGTTGGGGAAACATGCAGTGTCAAGGATTGAATATGGGCCTCCCTCATTCAAAGCATAGACTCTGGCTTATTGTTTAGTTCCTTTGTCTTTCCACTAGTTCATTGATCATTACTTTGTGTGTAAGTGTGTGGTGTCATGGCTTGAACTCAGGAATCATACCTTTAAGATAAGTGCTTTACCACTGAAGTGCAGTCTGACCATGAAATTTTTAACACTTATTTCTATTTTCCTACTTACTTGGGACTTAATTTGTTTTTTTCCTCCTGCCTTTATAAGATGAAAGAATAGAACAGTTATTTTTTTGTGCTATTTTTTTCCTTTATTTTATTTTATTTTATTTTACAGTTGTAGATTTACAATTTTTTGTGCTTTGGTTTCAATTATACAATGATCAGATACCCATCCCTCCACCAGTGCCCATTTTCCACCACCATGGATAATATCCCTCCCACCCCCATCCCCCCATCCCCCCTGTCTCTGTGGCAGGGCAATCCCCTGTGTTCTCTCTCTCCTTTTGGGTGTTGTGGTCTGCAAAAGAGGCATTGAGTGGCAAACATGTTCAGTCCATAGTCTACTTTCAACATGCATCTCCCCTCCTGGGAGGATCCTCCAAACATCCTTTATTTGGTGCTCCCTTCTCTATCTGAACTGCCCTTTCCTCTAGGATACCCGGCTGGCCTCTAAGTTATGGAGTAATCCTCCTGGTGCTGATCTCAGCTATTCTTGGGTATTAATCTCATACTTTGTTACTTTATATCCCCCAGATGAATGCAATCTTTCTATGTCTATCCCTCTCTTTCTGACTCATTTCGCTTAGCATGATACTTTCCATATTGTACCACTTGTATGTAAATTTCATGACTTCATCTTTTCTAAGAGCTACATAGTAAGTACTCCATTGTGTAGATGTACCAGTTTCTTTAACCAGTCATCTGTTCTTGGGCATTCAGGTTTCTTCCAGTTTCTGGCTATTGTAAAGAGTGCTGCAATGAACAAACAAGTGCAGATGTCACTTCGACTATACATTTTTGCCTCTCTGGGATATATTCCCAGGAGTGGTATTGCTGGGTCAAATGGGAGCTCAATTTCTAATTTTTTGAGAATCATCCATACTGTTTTCCAGAAGGGCTGAACCAGTGGACATTCCCACCAACAGTGAAGGAGTGTCCCTTTCTTGCCACATCCACGCCAGCATCGGTTGCTTTTGTTCTTTTGAATGTGGGCCAGTCTCTGAGGTGTGAGATGGTATCTCATTGTGGTTTTGATCTGCATCTCCCTGATGATTAATGATGTAGAGCATTTTCTCATGTGCTTTTTTGCCATTCGGATTTCTTCTTTGAGAAAGTTTCTGTTCATTTCATTGCCCCATTTTTGGATGGGGTTGGATGTTTTCTTTAGAACAGTTATTTTTATGCTCTTTTCTTTCCTACGTGCTTTTAAATCTTTAAATTTTCTTTTAAAGTCTACATTGGTTGTCTCTTATAAATTTTCATCTGTTTTGTCTTTATTCATTTTTGAATTATTTCTAATTTCCTTTGTGTTCTCTTTTTTGGCTTTCTTTTTTTAAAAAAGCATATTGCTTAATTCCAAATCATTTACAAGTTTTCTAGGTATTTTGCTGATTTTTGACCTTATTTTAATTATGCTATGATCAAAGAATGAACTCCACATATTTATTGTTTTTAAATTTACTGAGACATGTTCTGTGTCTTATAAATATTTCATATCCAGCATATGTTTCCTTCTTGATCTTATCCCACATGCAACTAAAAACAATACATGTTATGCAGTTTGTAGGTAAGGCTTTATCAATGCTATGTGGAAAAAGTTGATTGATGAGTTATTTCTGGTCTTCTCCATATTTAAATGTGTTTGATTGCTTGTTACATCAATGATTGGGCAAGAGATGTTACACATTAAATTTCCAATTATAATTGTGAATTAGCTTATTTCATTTTGATTCTGTACAATTTTTGCTTTATGAATTTTGAAACATGCTAATCATATCTATACACATCCAGACTGTTGCATATTCTTGATGAATTGGTCCCTTAATGCCTTTCTATGGTAGTATGTCTTTCAAGTTATCTTCTACTTAGTGTGATAATATAGCAAGCTTCAGAGTTCTTAGTGTTAACTTTTATTACAATTTTAATGATTCCTTTCTTTATACTTACAATATGTTTCTTAGACCAAAGAGATGGCTGAAAGGGCTTAGGAATGAGTGAGCCTTAGTTTCAATCCCTGGTATCACATAGTCTCCCTGAGCACCTAGCTAGGAGTAGCCCCTGAGCACCAATGGGGATGGATCAGAAGCCAAATAAGTGAATAAATAAAATAAAGTGTGTTTCTTGTAAACAGTACTTAGTTAGACCATATTTTATTATATGTTCTAGAAATATGCATTTATTGGCTTGTTTAATCCATTATATTGAGCATTATTATTCTATTTAGATTTAAGTATATCATTTTTGTACTTGTTTTCAGTTTGTTATATCAATTCTTTGATCCCCTATTTATTCCCTACTTCCTTTATTGTCAATTGAGTATTTGCCAAGATTTCATTTAATTAATGAAACTTAACTAATGTTTTAGAGAATCACACTTGGAAGTGCTCAGGGATCATTATCAGTAGGCTTCAGGAAACCATATGGGGCGCCAAGTAAGCACCTTACCCTCTGAACTATCATTCGGCCCCATTATATTTATTTATTTATTTATTTATTGAATCACTGTGGGAAAA